GCCCCCTGCCCTCCCTGACTCGGCCCCCTGCCCTCCCTGACTCGGCCCCCTGCCCTCCCTGACTCCGCCCCATGTCCTCCCTGACCCCGCCCCCTGACCTCCCTGTCTCCGCCCCCTGCCCTCCCTGACCCCTCTCTCTCTGCCTGCAGCTGAAGGTGCTGCCCAGAGACCTGCAGCTTTGCTCGGAGACGGCTTCGGGCGTGGATGTCGGGGGGCAGCATGAGTGGGGTGAGCTGGTGCAGCTGGACCCGCAGACGGTGGGCGTCATCGTCCGGCTAGAGAGGGAGACGTTCCAGGTTCTGAACATGCACGGGAAGGTTCTGACGGTGCGCCACCAGGCGGTGAACCGCAGGAAGGACAACCGCTTCGCCGTGGCACTGGACTCTGAGCAGAACAACATCCACGTCAAGGACATCGTGAAGGTCATCGACGGGCCGCACTCGGTGAGGAAACCTTCAGGAAGATTGGTTCTGGTTCTGGTTCCGGTTCTGATTGTGGTTCTGGTTCCGGTTCTGATTGTGGTTCTGGTTCTGGTCGGTGGCTCCAGGGTCGTGAAGGGGAGATCCGCCATCTGTTCCGCGGCTTCGCCTTCCTGCACTGCAAGAAGCTGGTGGAGAACGGAGGGATGTTCGTCTGTAAGACCAGACACCTGGTTCTGGCCGGAGGCTCCAAGGTAGGCCGGGTCTGGAACCAGCAGCTGGGCCTCTCATTGGACTGGGAACCAGCAGCTGGGCCTCTCATTGGACTGGGAACCAGCAGCTGGGCCTCTCATTGGACTGGGAACCAGCAGCTGGTCTCCACTGGACTGGGAACCAGCAGCTGGTCTCCACTGGGCGACGTTCGGCTGTTGGAAAGCCTCCAGCTGTTTTTCGTCTCTTTTCTGCTCGTTTACATGCAGCTGCTCTGAATCACCTCCGCCTCTGACAGCGTTTCTCTTCTTCTTCTATTTTTTTGCTGCATTCAGCCGAGAGACGTGACCAACTTCACGGTGGGGGGGTTCGCCCCGATGAGCCCCCGGATCAGCAGCCCCATGCACCACGGCGGGGGAGGTGGGTGCAGCCGCAGCAAAACGCTTTGGAGACCACAAGTTTACATACACCCAGTACAAACAAAGATTCTGTATTATGAAATCAGACCAAACTTCTGGTTTCAGGTCTGATCAAAGCCTTTCTGGATGTAAACGATAAGAAATGAATTCAGAGTCTTTCTCTCCTTATTCAGGCGTTTTAACAGAAATAATTTCTTTGAAACCAGAGAAGTTTGATTCTGATTTAACTTTAAACAGTGAGGAATAAAAGCTGCTTGTCTTTTTACTGGGGTATGTAAACTTGTGGTTGTTTTCAGTGAGTTTAAATGTAAACAAGACGGATGTTCTCTGCGTGGGAATATTTAGACGGTTTTATTAATTATTGTTGAGACGATTATTCTGATTATCAGTTTGCAGTAAACATGAAACATGGCTTCAACTCTGTCCTCTCTGTCCCCTCTGTCCCCTCTGTCCCCTCCGTCCCCTCTGTCCCCTCTGTCCCCTCCGTCCTCTCTGTCCCCTCTGTCCCCTCCGTCCTCTCTGTCCTCTCCGTCCTCTCTGTCCTCTCTGTCCCCTCTGTCCTCTCCGTCCCCTCTGTCCCCTCTGTCCCTTCTGTCCTCTCTGTCCCCTCTGTCCCTTCTGTCCTCTCTGTCCCCTCCGTCCTCTCTGTCCTCTCTGTCCCCTCCGTCCTCTCTGTCCCCTCTGTCCCCTCTGTCCCCTCTGTCCTCTCCGTCCCCTCCGTCCTCTCTGTCCCCTCCGTCCTCTCTGTCCCCTCTGTCCTCTCCGTCCCCTCTGTCCCCTCTGTCCCCTCGGTCCTCTCTGTCCCCTCCGTCCTCTCTGTCCC